ACCTCGGCACCCCCACGTCCCCAGCTCGGGCACCTCGGCACCCCCACACCCCCACGGAAAGGCCCAGGCCTTCCTTCTCTTGGCTAAACTCAGGCTAGTGGCAGACACGTAGGCCTGGACCGAGACCCGAGTGTGGAAAACCTCACATGTCAGAGGGGTAACAGGGAGGCCACCGACTAGGCCTGGCAGAGGGATCGCAGCTGCAGAAGCCCCAGTTTCCCCATTCTGTGAACTGTTTTCTGTGCAGGCTGCACCTCTTGTGACCCCTGACTTACGGTTTCCCACTCGTGTAGCTTTGACAGCTCCATCGTATTTTCGGTCACAGTCCCCTCCCCGGAACGCCAGGAGGGCTGGTCACATCCTTTATACCCTCCTGCTGCACACGTTCGACGGATGAGCGGCTTGTTCCGCTCTCTGGGCCCCAAATCTTCATCATGCTGTCCTGCTTGTGATGACACTCGTGAACGAGCCCCCGCTGTGGATGTATTTTGAGAGACGTCCAGGTCTGGCACATGGATGATGAATGGGAAGGATAAGGGAAAAGGAGACACCGTTTCTTTCTCCTGTGCACCCAGGCGGAGCAAAGTGTCCGTTGAGATGTACCAGTCGCAGGTGGCAAAGCTGGAGGATGATATCTACAAAGAGGCGGAAGAAAAGGCCCTGCTGAAGGAGGCCCTGGAACGCACGGAGCACCAGCTGTGCCAGGAGAAGAGGATCAACAGGGCCATCCGGCAGCAGAAGGTAAGGTGCTGCTGCCCAGGGCGGAACCTCCCAGGCTGCCCTGCAGCTCCCGTTAGAAATGGCCAGGGGAGGTCCCTGGAGGCTCCAGGTGGCGCAGAACGCATGGGAGGTAACTGGGTAGCTTTTGCATCAGACAGGCCAAAGCTCTGCCACTTACTGTGTGACCTTAGATAGGCTTCTTAACCTCTCTGAGACTCATGGTGCTCATCTGTATTTCTTTTAATGGTGGCTGTTGTTTGTTTATATCATTCTGCCAGGCGCTGGGGATACTCTCAGAGGGTGGAGATTTGTGTTCACTATTCTGAGTTCCTGGCATGCAGTAGATACCAATAAATATTTGGTGAATGGATGGGTGGAAGGACAGACAGGTCAATCGATGGACAGATGGATGAATAGCTGGCTGAGGAGTATACAGGAGGATGGGCAGATGGACATCCTGGAAGAACATATCCCTTAGTGTGGAACAGACAGACAGAGAGCTGACTTCGGGTGGATTTCATAGCTGAAGGGTGCCAGGGCTGTGCCATCCAGGGAGGGCACTCAGCCTGACTAGAGCATGCAGGGAGGGCCTGCCAAAGCCGGGATGCTGCCAGTGACCACAAAGGAGGCTGGAGCTTCACCACCAAAGGGACAAGAGGGTGGACATTCCCGGCTGAAGGAGCCGCAGAGGAAAGGCGTGAGGATGAGACTCACTCCCTGGCACATAGTTAGAAATAGCACTGGCTTGAGAAACCAAGATTCCAATCTCAGGCTGGTGACCCAGCGAAAATGGATCTCCCTCCCAACACACATGCACACACACACACACACACACACACACACCCTGGTATCTCATCTGTAACATGGCACAGGAGTCAGCCAGTCCTGGGTTCAAATCCATGCACTTATAGCTGTGCAATCTTGTGCAGGTGTCTTCACCTCTCTGAGCCTTGCTTTCCTCATTAGTAAATGGAAGCTTCCAGCCCCTGCCTCGCAGGCAGGTGGTGAGGATGAAAGAATGCGGACATTGGCCCATGGCGGTGGCTCACGCCTGTAATCCCAGCAGTTTGGTTGGCCGAGGCAGGCGGATCATGAGGTCAGGAGATTGAGACCATCCTGGCCAGGCTGGTGAAACCCCGTCTCTACTAAAATAACAAAAAATTAGCTGGGTATGGTGGCACGCACCTGTAGTCTCAGCTACTCAGGAGGCTGAAGCAAGGGAATCATTTGAACCCTTGTTCTAATAACTCTGCAAGACCTGTCTTACAGACAGGAGGCAGAGTTGCAGTCTGGAGGGACTGAGGCGTATACAGGAGGATGGGCAGATGGATGTCCTGGAAGATCGCAGGTCGTGCCACTGCACTCCAGCCTGGCAACAGAGCAATACTGCATCTCAGAAAAAAAAAAAAAAATGCAGGTATCCCTCGCTGTCTGCTGTCCACTCTTGCTATTGTCGAAACTCGGGAGCCAAGTAGTTTCAGATGGTAAGGGGGCTTGTCCTATCTCTGAAGCACCTGCCCAGGGCCTGGCACCAGCTGGTGAATGCTGCCTTCCCCACGCTGCTGTGACCCGTGCTGCCCATGATCACTCTCCTGGGTGAGTCCTGCCTCAGACAGGCAACACACACAAACACATCCTGTGCTGGGTCTACCTACTGGAAGATTTCCCCACAGCAAGGCACACATGACAGCACCCAGGCAGCTTCCGAAGCTCCGGGCAGAGGGGCTTTCCCTGCCTACCTTTCAGTTTATTCATCCATCCACCCCTGCGGCCCAAAGGGCATTGGAACAGCGACTTCTACATAGAGCCAGACTCTCCCTTTCCTTCCCTCTCACCTAAGGTAGAGCAGATCCCCAGGCTGGGGTCAGGCAAGCCAGGGAAAGAGCCACAGCCGCTGCCACCTGGTGACCATCTCCAGCCCAGGCACTGGGCTCCTCTGAGCTTTGCAGCCATGATTGGGCATCTTAATGCCTCTAATAGCCCTGCCTGGTACGATGATCCCTATGTTACAGATGAGGAAACTGCACCTCAGAGAGTTAAGAGGCACCCAACTGCACATGGTAGCTGGTAAGGAGGGCTGGGACCTGACCCCAGATCCCTCTGATCCCAGTTCTGCTCTCGGTGGGGTTGGCCCTGAGTCCCCCTCCTTGTAACTGTTAGCTTTTATGTGTGTGTGCATGCTCCTGTGTGTGTGTGTATGTGTGTGTACATGTGTGCCTTGTACATAAGGGTTTCCTGTGTGAGATGCTATGTGTGTGTGTGTGTGTGTGTGTGTGTATGTGTGTGTTGCTTGCCTGAGCTCAGAGAGGGGCAAGCCCCCAGGGAAGAGTGCCCCCTCCACCAGCCAGGTGAGCTCCTTGCAGATGCCTGGCCTTCATCCCACAAACCTTGCAGACCACAGGCTCCCTGGCTTGCAGCCCCAAAAATGAAGGCGGTGCCCTGCTCTGGACATGGCCTTTCTAGCACTCACCACTCTGAATTAAACATCACGGCCCACCCCCCAATCGTCTGCACATGTCGTGGGGCTGCCTCGGGCAGGGGATGGTTTCCTTTCACGCAGTGCCATGCCTGGGAAATCTGGCAGCAACAGAGGCCTGAGCTGTCCTTTGATGTGCCCGCTGGAGAGCTCACTCCTTCCTGAGGCAGTGAGGCAGTGTCCCCCAGAGCTTGGCAGGCCAGGCCCACAGCACAGACACCAAACCACAGAATGGGACAGCAGAGGGCCCCAAAAAGCCCATTGTCATGCACTGGCTAGAAATGAAAGAAAACCTGCAGATTTACATAATCAGTCCACATGCATTATTCATGGCTGCCTTACAGACGCACACACAATTCGGGCTGGCCAGCCTGCCACCGAGCCGGAGGAGGAAGGTCCAAGGTGGCCAAGCCAAACCTGCGTCAGGGTCCCCAGCTAGAGCTGGGAACTTTCGAATTCGTGGAATTCACAACGTAGGAAAGATGCGGTAGAAAGTAGAGCCACCGTCTCGGCAAGGCTGATGCTGTGATTTACGGAGCGCTTGCTGGCAGGCACATCCCCCAGGGCAGGGCCCACCCTCACCTCATGCCAGCCTGCAGGGCTGCCAGGCATCTGCCCACTGAGAGGGGAAACTGAGGAGGGCAGAGGGCGGTGCCACCTGCTACTCAGCCACAGAAACGGGACCTCAGCGACCTCCGACCCCGGCCCTCCCAGCCCGTCCACTCATCTACCCCATCACCATTTCTCTCGGGGTTCATCCCTGGGCTCAGTTCGAATTTAAGGTTTGTGACTAACATGGTATCAGAAATTCCTGTTTGTCAAGGGGAAAAATATTCTTTTTTTATTTCTTGCTGTTCAAGAGTTTGACAACAGAGAAAAAAAAAATGGGTTTTTTTCCCAGTGTTACAAGATTCCAAAGGGAACCTGTATACATCTGTTTGGGCAGCAGCTGCTCCCTAGCAGTATATTTTCATTAAATGGCAATTAAAGGAAAGTAGAATTCCTTCTTTTTAAGTTTCACACTTCATATTTTCACAAGGAGTCGATATTTTTCCAAGTGTCCTGTATGAAATCTCAGCACCCCTTCATAACCGTGCTGGCACAGTTGAGAGGCTGGGAAACGAAATTCCTCACCTTGCGTTTCAGAACTACCCGCCCCCGACACACAGACCACCACTGTAGTTTTAACATTTGAACAAACATCTCTTCACTGAGCAGAACTTTCCAGAATCAAAAGTCATACTTCCAGCTGGGCAGGGTAGGTCACATCTGTAACACGAGAACTTTGGAAGGCTGAGGCAGGAGGATCCCTTGAGAACGGCCTGGGCAGCATAGCAAGACACCATCTCTAAAAATAAAAATTAAAAAAATTAGCCAGGTGTGGCACCGCACACCTGTAGTCCCAGCTACTTGGGAGGCTAAGATGGAAGGATCACCTGAGCCTAGTAGTTTGGGGCTGCAGTACACTTTGATCACGCCACTGCCCTCCAGCCTGGGTGACACAGCAAGCCCTTGTCTCTTTTAAAACAGAAAAAAGGCACGGTTCTATACGAATACCTCTGGTTGTGCAAATCAGACCTGACACAAAATGCGGGGAAAAGCCTCAGCACTGGTCATCCTCAGAGGACCTCGTGGTCATCAGCCTCCTGGCTCTGAGATGCCCCGGGTCCACAGCTCCCTGCGGTGACTGTGTGACAGTGATGATGGCCCAGGCTGTGCCCAGTCTAGTCCACTTCCTACATCGCTAAATAAGGCGGCAGAGTCTCTCAGAGATAAGAGGCAGACTTTGGAGTGAAACAGGCAGGGCTTAGGGTTCAAGCGCACCTCTGCCCCTGAGTGAGCCTCAATAGGTGACTTTGCCTCTGTCTCAGGTTTCTCAAAAACGGCAACAGTGAAGTGACGGTCACGACAGGACCTGCTTCACGGGGCAGTTAAATGGTGCGATGCAGGCAGCGCCTGGCACAGAGCAAGGCCACTCGGGGGTGGGGGGCAGTGCCCAAATCGCTTTCAATGAGCTTCCTGCCTGCTGGCGCATCCTGCAGACCCTGAGACTTTTTCCCGGGTCCTCCTAGAGCCGGCAGCGCCTTTGTGAAGCTGCCTTTTCTATTTGGTGAATACAACTAGGGCCGCAGCCAAGGAAGAGCCAGTACTTTTCATGAATGGGTTAAGACTGAATTTTCAATAGAAACTTTTTAAATGCACAGAAGTTGCCCTTGGAGAAGGATGCAAGCCCTTTCTCGGGCCTTCATTAGGACTGGAGTGTGAGAACCGCTGAAATGCCCTAGCTGCTTCTGGCTCCCCTTCCGGGCTCCAGCCAATCAAATCCTGCCCAAGGGGCTTGGCCACAGCTTTGCCGAGTGGTCTCAGCTGGGCTGGGGCCCCTGACCTTCCCTCTGCATTGTGAGCTCAAGTCCCTCATCTTTGAGACGAAAATAAAAATGTGCCTAACTCACAGGTGTCAGTCCCGTGAAGGCACGCATATAACGCCCTAAGCAAACAGGACCTCTCAATCGTGCTGTTTTTCCTTTTTCTTTTTTTTTTTTTTTTTTTTTTTTTTTTTGAGACAGAGTCCCGCACTGTCGCCAGGCTGGAGTGCAGTGGCGCGATCTCGGCTCACTGCAACCTCCGCCTCCCAGGTTCAAGTGATACTCCTGCCTCAGCCTCCCGAGTAGCTGAGACTACAGGCGCACACCCAGCTAATTTTTGTATTTTTCGTAGAGACAGGGTTTCATCATGTTGGCCAGGATGGTCTCAATCTCTTGACCTCATGATCCGCCCGCCTCGGCCTCCCAAAGTGTTGGGATTACAGGCATGAGCCACTGCACCCGGCCATGTTTTTTCTTTTTCTTTTTTTTTTCTTTTCTTTTCCTTTACTTT